GATTTTTTTTTCATATCAGATTAACAAAAACTTTTTTAAACAATTTTATACATATTAGAAACAATTTTATATAAAAGTGGGGCTTATGTTAAGAGCTTTGATTTAAACATTTTTTATTTATGTTGAGCTGTGGGATATTATTTAGATTTAAATAAAAATGTGTGCAACCAACAAGACTAAATGCAAACCAAAGACTAACAATTAAAGCTAGCTTTTGCTTATTTCTATCTCGTAAAAAGAAATAAAATAATGTATTTTTTATGTATATTGTTATTGTATAATAAATGAAAAATTTATATGCAATCTTCACTGTAGAGTGTTTAAACAATATAAATTTTTAAAAATTATTTATTTTTAATTTCTCTACATTTTAGATAATTGTTAATAACTTTTTCAAATATGGAATGTTAGAACATTTAGTAATTAAGCAATTAAAACCATCAAGTAAAGTGTAAAAAACTTAATATAACCGAAAAATCAATCCCAAAAAATAGTGCAGGTACCATACATTTTTGGAGGTTGAAGAATCAGAAATCTTGAGAGTACATTTTTAAAGTATCAAAAATAGCTGTTTGCACCAACAATTTATAAACCTAATATTACCAATTGTGAATCCAAACCAGTTCATACTGATCAAGTTTTGAGTACTTTTTACAGATGGAGATTCTGAAGCATTGAACCTCAACATTTTATGAAATATACAAGTTTTGAAATTTTTCGTTTAACATATTTCTTAATCAATAAAAATAGCATCAGTTTTGTATTGTGAACATGTATGTTTAATTTTTTTTATTGTGAATTTTGAGTCTGGATCCATTTTATAACTTTTAATTTTATAAACCCCGTTAAATTATAAACTCATCAGGAGTAAAAATGAATGCATATATTTTAACGATGCCGCTGCTCAGCTAAAAGCTAGATACTAAAGTTTATTGGTTAAAGGATGCGAGGAATAAAATAAGTCGCTTATTGAGTTAGCACTTTTTCCTGGTCTTTTCGGTTTAGTTAAAAAGTTTAAATGTTGGGAAACCATTCTTTCATTACGTTTTTTATTCGGAAAGGAAATTTCCGAGAAAAAAAGTTCTACGCGCACATGGAATAAACAAATAGTCCAACTAGCTTGCGAATCGAAATTCGTTTAAAATTCGCTTTCACACAAAATAACTCGCTCCATCTTAAGTTGGCGTACTTTATAACAGGTCTATTCACCGTGCGGATGACGTCGAAAACTGGAGGCGAACATTTTTAAACCATATTTTCTGTTAAGCGTCGAAGCTCTTGTCATCTATTTATTTAGTTAAAAATTTAAATTTTAATAAACATGGGTCACACATCAAATGATAAAAATGTCTAAACTTACTGATGTTGCTGTATTCCCCAAACCAATTGAAAGACAAATAGTTTCTACTTGTCTAAAAGTATTTTGTGAAGAAACTGTCTGTGCCTTAAAATGTCATCCAGACTTGAAAAATGTTGATGATACTATTTTATTTTATTCAATAATAATTGAATTTTGAAGAATTGTTAATGTTCATAGCCCTTATGCCAATATATGTATGCGTAATCCGATATATGTATGCGTAATCTAAACCGAGCTGCAATTTTTTCTTCTAGTGATTTTAATCTTCAAAAGCTGTTAGATTTGGAAACTTAGCTAAACAAATGTGTTCTTCTCAAAAGGTTCGTTGTAAAAGTTTCACAAAAATATGCTTTCCTTGGAACATTGACCACTGATCCTTTAGAAAAACAGTTTGGAAAACTCAGGCAAGGATCAGGTGGTACATATTTTATTACTGTACAACAAATATTAGAGAAAGTTGGTATTATAAAGACAAAACTACTTTCGCAATTAGACAATAATGGTGATAGTCTTGATTTTACTATATCAGGGCATTCTTGTGAAAGATGTGGTTTTACATGAACGAAGAGAAATGTTTGATATTTTATAACTTACCAGTATTAGAAAATATATTATCTATAGAAGTTAAAATGAGTCTGATTTATATAGCTGGGTATGTTTTCCGAACTGATGAAGATTCAGATGACTCATACTTTTATTATGAGAAATTCATATATTTTACTGATGAAATTAATCGTGGAGGATTAACTGTGTCTGGTGATTTTGTATTTCAATGCGTTATTTATTGTTATATTATGTTTCGTGAAGTGGCTGATAACACATGCATTTCTTCTTTATGCAATCTAATGTTGCTTATTTCAGAATCATATCAACTGAATATGAATAGAAAACATGGTGTTATACTTTCGAACATATTCTTTAAAAACTATTGTAGTTTATATTCACCAAGATCAGAAAAAGAACCAAAACAAAAAATTTTAACTAAGTGTTAAATAATATTGTTATTTAACACTGAGTTTCAAAAAAAATCCAACATAAAATACTGTTTCTGTTTTAAAAAATTTAAATAAAAATAATATGATGAAGAATGATGGTGAAGGTATTCAACTTGGTTTTACTTAGTTTTTATGGTTAGTAAAATAAATGATAATTTGTGAAAATTTATACATAAATTTTTAAAAATTCATGTATAAATTTATTTATAGATATATTTGTAAAAAAATCTATTTAGTATTTTTTTATTTAGTATTTTTTTGATTGAAAATTAAACTTCAAGTTTACTCATGTTAGTAGTGTTTTTTCTGTTAAAAAAACTCGCCTCCAGTTTATGACGTCATCCGCACGGTGAATAGGCCTGTTATAAAGTACGCCAAACACATTAGACCTCCTCACAGTTCCGATAATTTACCAGTTCGTCATTGTTCCTTGTGCGCAGAATAGCAGGAAAGAAAGTAAATACACAAATATATTATGAAAGCATTCTTGAAAGAAACAGTTGTTTACATGAGATTTCTTTACTTTTATTCATAATAAAATTATCGATTTTGAATTATTTAACTTTATTTTAACTATTTTAAGGCTAAATTTATACTATTTATATATTTATATTTTTTATGTTTGTTTTAAAGGATATATATGAAAGAAATAAAAGCTCTTAAAGAATACTCTTTATCTTTTGCATTTCACACATTTCGAGTGTGAAATGTGCATTGATAGTTGTGTTTGTGTGTATATATATAATATATATATATATATATATATATATATATATATATATATATATATATATATATATATATATATATATATATATATATATATATATATATATATATATATAATATATATACATATATATATGTGTGTGTATATACATATATATGTGTGTGAGTGTGTATATATATAT